CCTGTTGCACATCCCGTGAGGGGCATTAGGGAACTCTCCTGTTTCAGTCATGCCACTGCACTCCAGCCTGGGCAGCAGAACAACACCTTGTCCTAAATAAAAACAGGCCGGGCACAGTCGCTTATCCCTGTAATCCCAGCGTTTTGGGAGGCCAAGGCGTATGGATCAGGAAGTCAGGAGTTCGAGACCATCTTGGCTAACACAGTGAAGCCCTGTTTCTACTAAAAATACAAAAATTAGCCAGGCATGGTGGCACATGCCTGTAGTCCCAGCTACTCAGGAGGCTGAGGCAGGAGAATCACTTGAACCCGGGAGGCTGAGGTTGCAGTGAGCTGAGATTGTGCCATTGCACTCCAGCCTGGGCAATAAAGCAAGACTCCGTCTCAAAATAAATAAATAAAAACTAAAAACAAAAACTTCCAAATTGGTGAATTACTGGGTGCATGTTGGGTAGGGCAGGGGCTTGTAGGCACAAGGACACACCAGCACCCTGAAAGGATGGGTAAGTAACCAGAGTCTAGAGAGATCCTGCTCCCATCGGCACAGGGACCACCTGGTCTGAGAGAGGAAAAGTTTCTTGGGTTCACACCTTTTTTTGAAGGAGGAAGTGATGAATGTCTTCATAGGCCCTGCTCGGCGTCACTGAAGATCAGATCTGGTGTGGAGGAAGCTCAGGAACCACAACACAGCTGCCACACTGGAGGCTTACTCTGCACCTCTCACCCATTGTTCTCCTTTAACTCATGCGTGATGTTTCCGCCCTCAGCAGGTCTTCCCTTGTGAGCGAATGGAAAGAAAGTAAAAATTCTGGAAAGAGTGAGTGCGCCAGAGAGCAAAAACCGTGAATCAAGCACTGCCTTTTTTTTTGAGACAGGGTCTTGCTTTGTTGCCCAGGCTGGAATGCAGTGGCGTGATCAAAGCTTGCTGCAGCCTTGAACTCCTGAGCTCGAAGTATCCTCCCATCTCAGCTTCCCAAATAGCGAGGACTATGGGTGTACTACTATGCCTGGCTAATTTTAAATATATATTTTGTAGAGATGGGGTCTTGCTACATTGCCCAGCCTAGTCTCAGATTCCTGGCCTCAAGTGATCCTCCCAACTTGGCCTCCGAAAGTGTTGGAATTACAGGTGTGAGCTACCACACCCCACCAAGGACTGGCTTTTATTATTACAAAAGACAAGTGATATGGCCCCTCAGGTTGCTTCCACACTAAAGAGGCTACCATCTTCCCCTTTCTTATTCAACTGAAGAGGCTGACAGGCAAGAAAGGCTTTAATACTTTTTTGCCTGTTCCTCTCTAGACTTCAGGCAGGGATACTACTGCCCCCTTGGGGTTGTCATTTCTTGACTGACTCTCCCTTCTCTCTCCTTTGCCCCTCAGCAGCCAGGCTTCCAAAAGATGACCACAAAACTATCTTTGGGGTGGGGGTGGGAGATGTAGCTAACAGGAAATGGTAATCGAGCCCCTGATGACTCGTGAGTCACTGTGTGTTGGGTGATGTCACAGTACAGACAGGGAGCCCAAGCTCAGGTCTGAAATGGAGCTTGGCCAAGAAATGCAGCCACTTCACACGAGATGCTTCAGAGCCGTGGCGGTGACCGTGGACCCTGCACACCACATTCTCTTCCTTCCCATGTTAGTTTGTTAAGAGGGATATGATGAGCCAGGGTCATGAAAACGCAGGTAGGATTGATTCCTCTGCTGTTGGTGTGTCTTTCAGAGGCCCAGCTTATTTGTTTTGTGTTCAATTACCCATAGATTCCTCAACCTCTTTGGGAAGCCATTAAATAAATTATTCTGAGCATCATGGGTTGCATTCTCCAGGAAGCAGTCTCTACAATGGAGATGTGTGCACAGAGACTTTACCGGGAAATGCTATCAAGATCAACACCTGTGCAGGGAGAGCAGGAAGCCAGATGAATAGAAGAAGAAGCTGAACTTTAATGCTGGGGAGACAGTGGCTTCCGCCAGTGCCACAAGGAGCTCTGGAGCTAGGATGGCCCTTTAAAATTGGAGTGTAGGGCAGGTTGCTATCCTTGCACTGACCATCGGATGCAGGCTGCCCTAGAAAGTGCTAATGGCCTTGAGCAAGGCAGCTCCCCTCAGCCCAGGGAAAAACCCTGGAAAAGATGCAGCGGCGAGCTCCAGCTGCCAACACTCCTGGCAACTGACATTATGAACACGTCCACTGCAGCCCCGCATCCACCACACCAGGCATAGGCTTTAGACCTTTCATACCTTTACCACTTTTTTTTTTTTTTTGACAGTCTCATTCTGTTGCCCAGGCTGGAGTGCAGTGGTGTGATCTCAGCTCACTGCAACTTCCTCCTCCAGGTTCAAGTGATTCTCCTGCCTCAGCCTTCAGAGTAGCTGGGATTACAGACATGCACCACCACACCTGGCTAATTTTTTGCATTTTTAGTAGAAACGGGGTTTCACCATGTTGGCCAGGCTGGTCTTGAACTCCTGACTTCAGGTGATTCACCCACCTCTGCCTCCCAAAGTTGTGGAATTACAGGCATAAGCCACCACACCCAGCCGCTGCCATGAGTTTAAATCCTTCACATTCTCTATGATCTTTATAATAATTACCGGCACGGGTTTTGAAGTTTGACAGACTTGTGTTCGCATCCCATTCCTGCCATGCATTTGACAACGTTTATGGAGTATCTCAATATTTCAGGCGCTGTTCAAGGCACTGAGGGTACAGCTGGGAATAAAAGAGATAAAAGCCCTGCCTCTGGGGCCGATGTTTCATGAGTGACAGGAGAACATAGACGATTAAAAGAAAAAGGTAGAATACATGGTGATTAGTGCCATGTGATAATATATACTTATAACACTTAAAAAATTAAGTGGAGCATGTCGGGGAGGAGGAGGGAACTGTAAGAGTGCTGCTTGCTATGTGTGGAGACCAGGAAAGGCTTCCCAGAGAGGTGTGGCCATGCAAGATCAGGGAGGCTGGATTTGGGGCTGGGGGACCTGTGCAAAGGCCCTGAGAAGAAGGTGCTCTGGGGGTGTACAAAGCACACAAGGAGGAAGAGGGAAGGGGCAGAGAAAGGGGTTTCAGAAGTAGGAGATAAAATCAGAGGTTTATATGCAACATCCAGAATGGGCAAATCTATAGGCACAGAAAGCAAGTTGCTTAGGGCTGCAGTAGTGGGTACGATGGGGAGAGGTGACTTTGGGATGCAGGTTTCTTCTTGGAATAATGAAAATAACCTGGAAGGCGCTGAGATGACAGCTGCACAACTCTGTGAATATATAGAAAGCCATTCAATGGTTTTTCCAATGCATGCTTTAAATGGGTGAACTGTGTGGTATGTGAATTCTTTTTTTTTTTTTTTTTTTTTTGAGACAGAGTTTCACTCTTGTTACCCAGGCTGGAGTGCAATGGCGCGATCTCAGCTCACCGGCTCACTGCAACCTCCGCCTCCTGGGTTCAGGCAATTCTCCTGCCTCAGCCTCCTGAGTAGCTGGGATTACAGGCACGCGCCACCATGCCCAGCTAATTTTTAGTATTTTTAGTAGAGACGGGGTTTTACCATGTTGACCAGGATGGTCTCGATCTCTCGACCTCGTGATCCACCCGCCTCGGCCTCCCAAAGTGCTGGGATTACAGGCTTGAGCCACCGCGCCCGGCCGAATTGTATCTTAATAAAGCTATTGTTTTTTTGTTTGTTTGCTTGTTTTTTTCACCCAGGCTGGAGTGCAGTGACACAATCTCAGTTTTCTGTGACCTTCACCTTCTGGGTTTAAGTGAGTCTCCTGCCTCAGCCTCCTGAGTAGCTGGGATTACAGGCGACTGCCACCATGCCTGACTAATTTCTTTCGTAGTTTTAGTTCTCGGCCAGGCTGGTTTTGAACTCCTGACCTCAAGTGATTCTCCTGCCATGGCCTCCGAAAGTGCTAGGATTACAGGTGTGAGACACCATGCCCAGCCAATAAAGCTATTTAAAGAATCAGAGTAGTGACTGACAGGGGACTGCCCCATGCAGGACCTGGTGGGCCATGGGGAGGAGCTGTGCTTTGACTCTGAGATGGGACACCACCAGTCTGTTTCAACCAGAAGAGTGATATGATCAGATTTACATTAAAAAAGAATCCCAGCCGAGGCACGGGGGCTCAAACCTCTAATCTCAGCACTTTGAAAGGCTGAAGGGGAGGATTGCTTGAGCCCAGGAGTTCAAGACCAGCCCAGGCAACTATTGCAAGACCCATCTGTATTTCATAAATTAAAATAAGTAACAACAACAACAACAAAAAAAAAAAAAAAAAGAGAGAGAGAGAGAGAAAGAAAAGACTCTGCTGCTGTGTTGAGAACTGGCTGAAGGGGGACACTGGTGGATGCAGGGAGAGGAGCAAGGAGCTTAATGCAAGAATCCAGCACCAGTGGCTTCCAGCCAGGTGCTAGAAGCAGGGGAGCACTTGGTTGAAAGTTGACATGCTTCGACATCAGAGCTGGCAGCAAGGGCCCTGAGGATGGCTGGCTGTGGGTGTATGAGAGAGAGGAGCTAAGGTTTCTTGGTTCTGGCTGGTTCTAGAGTGGAGCTGCCATTTACTAGGATGAAGACAGCTATGGGAGCAACACATTTGGGGTTGGAATCAGGAGTTTCTGTATGATATGTGAGGTCTGAGAGGCCTCTCAGAGAGACTTCCTAGGCAGTTGGGAATTGCGTCCAGAATTCAACATGGGAGCAGTCTGCGCAGGAGACTGTGCGGGTATCTAGGAGCCATCAGCATACCATGGAATTTATTCTTGAGACTGGACCAGACCCTCAGGAGGAGCAGAGACACATGAGTCACGGCCAAGGGTCTGACCCTTTGAGGCTTAGTTGTCAAAGCTATAGGAGATCTACCTTGCATGGTTGTTGTGAGTGGTGGGAGGTGCTGAATGGACCCATGCCCAGTTCTCAGAATGACACTATTGTTGGCTTGGCTTACTTTGGATTTGAGTGTCTTCAGTCTTCTTTCTTTTTTCCTCTGTGTCCTCATTAGGAGTGAAGGCTGATCCTCAGCATTATTGTTTAACTACTTGGATCCAGTTCAGCACTGAGCACCAACCGAAAAGAAGCCACTCTGCTAGAACATCAGCTACCTAAGGATCCTGGCTGGTACTTTCCACTCCCCAAGGATGCACCTTCCAGTGGAGAAAACAAGAAAACCCCATTGCCTTCCTGAGAATGTGCGGCAAACTGCAAGGCTGTGCAGGTGCAACACTGGGGTAGGGCTGGGGAGACATTAATTCAGACTGGGGACATTTGTGGGACTCACCAAGGAAGCAGAACATGATCTTGAGCTTGAGAGTTGAAAAGGAATGTGGCAGGGTGCGGTGGCTCACGCCTGTAATCCCAGCACTTTGGGAGGCTGAGGCGGGTGGATTACCCGAGGTCAGGAGTTTGAGACCATCCTGGCCAACATGGTGAAACCCCATCTCTACTGAAAATACAAAAATTAGTTGGGCGTGGTGACACGTGCCTGTAATCCCAGCTACTCGGGAGGCTGAGGCAGGAGAATCGCTTGAACCTGGGGGGCAGAGGCTGTAGTGAGCCAAGATCATGCCGCTACACTCCAGCCTGGGAGACAGAGCAAAGTCTCAAAAATAAAATAAAATAAGATAAAGGAATGTGTTGGGGAAAGATGAAGGACAGATGGGGTGGGGTGGAAGGGAGGGCAGCACGGGCAGATGTGACTAGAACAGACCAGACAACTCCTTTATGGCTAAAGCATGGTGTTTGTGGTGATGCGGTAGAGGGAACTCAGCATGGCTTGAGCTAGGCTAGAGGAGTTGGCAGGGGGCCACTCCATGTTAGCAACCATCACCCATGAGTACACACCGGGTGGTCTAGTTACCCAGAAGTCCTCCCCTGGAATCTTTTGGATCCTCTCACTCTTAAGCCCAGCACATCAACTCATTAGTTTCAATAAGACTGCCATTTTCTGCCCAGCCATCCAGGGGCTAACCTCCTCTGTTCCCCTCCTGTGGCTCTATCACTGTGGCCCATCTCTTACCAGCATCCTCAGCTGTTTCACTCTCTGGTTTTCGACCCCATCATCTTATAAACTTTGAGTCCTGGGTCATTTCAATAGCCTCTCTCTCTTTTTTTTATTTCAGGATGTCAAGGTAGTTGGACAACAGTCCTTCAACTGCATATGGCAGTAGCTTCGACTTTGTTGCCACTAGTCTCAGCTGGGTCCTTAGGAGTACTGGTCCATTCTTTTATGCATCCTTAGCCAGCTTAATTTTCCATTTTTCATGGTGGCCATGCCAAACCTTTGTTCCTCTTTTCAGCAAAGAAAATGGAAGGCTTTCGGGCTCCTGCTTCCTCAAATGTTTGCCTTCCCTGCATGCAAACTTGTATACTTTTTATTTTATTTTTGAGACTGGGTCTTGCTCTGTCACCTAAGCTGGAGTGCAATTCATGAACATGGTTCACTGGAATCAGACATTTCTTTACGCCACCACTCACAACAACCACGCAAGGTAGATCTCCTATAGCTTTGACAACTAAGCCTCAAAGTATCAGACACTTGGCCATGACTCGTGTGTCTCTGCTCTTCCTGAGGGTCTGAACCAGTCTCAAGACTGAATTCTATGAATACGCTGATGGCTCCTAGATTCCATCTCCTGCACAGATGACTCCCATATTGAATTCTGGACACAATTCCCAACTGCCTATGAAGCTTCTCTCATAAGCGTCTCAGAACTTCACATATCATAGAGAAACTCCTAATTCTCTGTGACATGTGTTGCTCCTACAGCTGTCTCAGTCTTAGAGACAGCTTTCTCCTGGGCTCAACTGATCCTCTCACCTCAGCCTCCTGAGTAGCTGGGACTACAGGTGCACATTAACATATCTGGCAAAATTTTGTATTTATTTTTTGTAGAGACAAGGTTTTGCCATGTTGCCCAGGCTGGTCTAGAACCGTGGTGCCCAAGTAATGCACCTGCCAGGCATGAGCCACTGTGCCCGGCCACTTATCTACTTATTAGCTCTCTATTGCTGTGTAATCAATTACTCCAAAATGGAATGTCTTAGAACAATAAACATTTATCATATAGTCTGTAGACTCTGGGCATGGTTTAGTTGGGTATCTCTCCTTCGGGGTCGCTCATAAGATTGCAATCAAGCTGTTAGCTGGAGCTGCAGTCATCTCAAGGCTTGACAGGGCCTGAAGGCTCCTGAGGTCATTGATGTGGCTTTACATAGGGTTGCCTTAAAATAACATGACAGCTGACTTCCCCCAGGGTGGGCAATCCAAGTGAGAACAAGACAGAGTGCCTGTAATATTATGATACATATATTACACATATGTATGTGGTTTTGTCCAGTTTCTGGCTGATAACTCCTCCAGTCCTTATTTCCTAAGTGACTAAAACAATATGCATACCTTTTGTTAAAGTCTTTGTCCCTTGTCCTTGGTTCCTAAAGCAGCTTCAGAGCGATAAAGGTGAAACTCTGTTTTGTTACAACATTGGGGGCCTTTAGGCCTCGGGAAGCAGAACCTCTTTCTCTGACCTTCTCCTGCGCTCCTTTCACCTGATCTTTTTTCTCCCCAACACAGGCCATAGGCACTAAAAGTATAATCTTCCCCCACCTTTCTGTCTTGGCGCTGGTCAGAAATAAATTATCTGGCCTACCTTGTCTGATTGTAGGTTCTAAGACCCCCATTTCAGAAGGGGTCCTGCCCCGTACCCAGGAGAAAGGAAAGCTGCACAGAGAGGCCAAGAAGAAACTGAACTGATGGGCCTTGCTGAATTTCCCCACTCAGTCTATTAGTATTAGATTATACCCTTTTTGTCCAATCACATTTCTATATGGTTGTCCAGGCTTCAATCATGCCTATCCGATGAAGTCTTCAGGCCCAGGAAGATGGAATATGGGAAGCTTCTGAAAAGCTGAACTCATGGAGGCTTCCAGAACAGTGCAGAAAAACTCATTAAAGAGGCCAGATGTGGTGGCTCATGCCTGTAATTCTAGCACTTTGGGAAGCTGAGGCAACTGGAGCACTTGAGACCAGGAATTTGAGACCAGCCTGATGAAACTCTGTTTCTACTAAAAATACAAAAATTATCCAGGCATGGTGGTGTGTGCCTGTAATCCCAGCTACCGTGGTGGCTGAGACCAGAGAATCACTTGAACCCCAGAGGCGGAGGTTGCAGTGAGCCAATGTCGCGCCACTGCACTCTTGACTGGGCAAGCCTTAAAATAAATAAAATAATAAATCAGTAAACATAAGTGTTTCCCAGAGTTTCATGAGCCTCTCCAGGAAATGAGTCAAGCCTAAAGAGGGCATCGTGAGAACCCCAACTTGAAGCTGGTCAGTCTGAAGTTACAGAGGCCTAGACTGGTGGCTGGCATCTGAAGTGGGGGCAGTCTTGTGGGATTGAGCCCTCAATTTGTGGGATCCGATGCTATCTCCAGGTAGATAGTGTCAGTGTCAGAACCGAACTGAATTAGAAGACACCCAGCTGGTGTCCACTGCAGAACTGACTGCTCGCTTGTTGGTGGGGACAAATCTCCACACATTGGATCACAGGAGTCTTCTGTGCTGATTACTGTGATGTGACAGCAGAGGAAAAGTTTGTTTTCCAATACAGCGCCCAGGATGAAAGCCACATGCTTTTATAACCAAATATATCACAAGTGACATCCCATCACTTGTACAATATTCTTTTTTTGGGGGGGGGGCAGTCTTTCTCTGTTGCCCAGGCTGGAATGCAGTGGTGCGATCTCAGCTCACTGCAACGGAACCTCTGCCTCCCAGGTTCAAGTGATTCTCATGCTTCACCGCCCCTGGCTAATTTTGTATTTTTAGTAGAGATGGGGTTTCTCCATGTTGGTCAGGCTGGTCTTGAACTCCTGGCCTTAAGTGATATGCCTGCTTCGGCCTCCCAAAATGCTGGGATTACAGATGTGTACCACCACACCCAGCTATGTGTACAGTATTTTATGTGCTAGAAGTGGGTAAGTCCAGTGCCCATTCAAGGGGAGGGGGTTACACCAGAGCATGAACACTAGGAGGCTGAGATCGTTAGAAGCTGCCTACCACAACTTCTCCTCTTCTTTCCATATTCCTACTTGCCTCCAGGGCCAGTTCTCAATATGTGCAAATGTTCCTGTCTGGCTTTATAGAGTATCTACCATTGTTCCATTGCCTCCTTCCCTTCAACCTTAAACCATGTCCAGAAATCTCCTAAGCTAAAAGTAAACCTTCCCTCCACCTTCATCTATGACCACTAGTCTCTCCATCCTTCCCTGCAACTCTTCTTGAGAATGTGACCTTTCTTCTCCACATTCACTTCCACCTCCACAGCACTGCTCTGCTAAGGTCATCAGTGACCTCCAAATGTCAGGTCATATGCCCACCTTTTAATCCTAGTCTTAGTTGACCTCTGTAGCACTGAATCCTGTTAACCCTCCTCTTCAGCTTCTCCTGTCTTGCTGACTTCACCTTTTGGGCCTCCTGTATCTTCACTTATCCCTAAATCTGAGGCTGTCCAGGCTTTGCCCACACTCCTTGGCTTCACTCCCTCTGAATCCCCACCTCCTGCACTCCCAGCACCTCTATATTCTGATAACTATTGTTGCTGCTGTGAAGCTATTTTAGTCTTCCAACTCACATGTGAAAGAAGTAACACACTTTTTTTTTTTGGAGATGGAGCCTTGCTCAGTCGCCCAGGCAGGAATGCTGTGGTGTGATCTCACTGCAATCTCCACCTCCCAGGTTCAAGCAATTCTCCTGCCTTACCCTCCTGAGTAGCTGGGACTACAGGTGTGAGCTACCACGCTCAGCTAATTTCTGTATTTTTAGTAGAGACAGGATTTCACCATCTTGGCCAGGTTGGTCTCAAACTCCTGACCTCAGGTGATCCACTCTTCTCAGCCTCCCAAAGTGCTGGGATTATAGGTTTGAGCCCCTGCACCTGGCCTGACATTCTTCTTGACTTTGTTTAAACCAATTTCAATCTGATATTCTACTGAGCTGACAGGAAATTAATCTCAGTAATTGCTGAATGTCCCACATTCTATCCACGGGTGTGTCAAAGTCGGCTCTTCTTGGAGGTCTTGCTAGGCAAAGGCATTGGTCTTTGGCTCATGCTGATCACTGCTGAGGTGCTCCCTGGTCTGACTGCATTGTCCCTTGAGGTCTAATTAGCCTTGCTGCTTAAGCAAAGGAATCTTTGGCAAAGTGAATGCTCCTAGGCCTGGGGTCCAGCCTTCCTAACTACAAAGATCAACCACTCTCTTTGAGGATTTGTCCTTGGAGCAGCACCCACGTCCAGGAAGCTAAGATTCACAGCAACAACAATAGTTGTTGGAACCTGTTATTTCCTCTCTCCCAATCTTAGAGGGACTGTCTTCTCTCTCTCCTCCTGCAACTCTTAAAGTCCCCACCCCATGAACATCAGACAAAGACAACCGTATCTGTTCTTTACCCTGCAAAAACATCTCAGGAAAGGAACTAGGCTTGGCCACCAGCTTGGAATGTAGAGGAGGGAAAACTGCAAACTAAACACAAATTAGCCTGCCATGGTGGCTCACACCTGTAATCCCAACACTTAGGGAGGCTGAGGTGGGAGGATCATTGAGGCCAGGAGTTTGAGACCAGCTGGGGCAACATAGGGAGACCCCCAACTGTACAAAATTTTTTTAAAAAAATAAGGTGGGCATAGTCTTCAGCTACTTGGAAGGCTGAGGCAGGAGGATTGCTTGAGCCCAAGAGGTCAACACTACAGTGAGCCGAAATCACACTACTGCACTCCATCCAGTCTGGGCAAGAGAGTGAGACCCTGTTCCAAAAAACAAACCAACCCACACAAATTAATACTGTTGGCAGCTGAGCAGTGGGCTTTAATACATGACACTCTCTTTTCTCCCTTGTGAGTTTAGGTCACAGACGGAGTCTAAAACATTTGCCTTATTACTAACAGAGCTCATTGGATACAGTGGCTCCAAGTGTGCTCCAAGCAGAGCCTCTTCACAGTGGAGGCCACCCACAGGCACAGCAGAGCCACTGCGCAGGGCCGGAAAAACGTAAAAGGGAGGAGCCATGGGGTGTGGCTGCAATGCTCAGTTTCTTCCCCAAGCCGACGGATCAGGTAAGTCACCCTTCCTGCTTGGACGGGGCAAAGCCCAGCGTGGCCTGGAGTTCTTGCAGTGGGTGTGGGGAGGCTAGGAACCCAGGTTTCCCCATAACAAATATCCATAAAGATGACTTTCAGGCTGTGAAGACTGGACATCCAGCCAAGGCCTCACTCCTGGGCACCAGACCGGTATTTCCCGTGGCCTACTGTACATCTCCACGTGGATGGCCATGAGGCAGCTCCGGTTCAACACCCCCAAATCTAAATTCAGGAGCCCTTTCCCCCCAGCCCTCCCCTGCCATCTCAGAATTGATTAATGACAGTACAGTCAGCCTTCCAATTCAAGGAAGTGGGCACTCTCCGCCACTCTCGCGTGAATACAGTTTGTCGGCAGATCCCATCCTTTCTACCTCCAAAGTTTGCACGGTGTTCCTTTATGTTACTTCAGTTTACTCTCCTCATCTCTTAGATCACAGCAGGAGCCTCCTTACCATCTCCATGCCTCTGTCTTTCCCTCTCCCTCTTCCTGTCCATAGGAAGTGGGACTCTACCTACATTCCAACCTCATACCTTTTCCCCAAATGCAACTAATGCTCCTTTCACACAGCCCTATAACAGCATCCAGTTTCCAGAACTTTTCCAGCCTTCCACCTCCCCTAACTTTCGCCTGGAAAACTCCTGATCGGCCTACAACATTCAGCTCTGGGGTTGTTCCTCCCCAACACCATCCCTGACCAAGGCGAAATTAAGGGGTCCGTCTGCAGTGCTCCCAAAAGCGAGCATAACCTAGATGTTTGTCAGCTAACTTTCTACCAGTCTGAGGGGTCCTTCAGTATAGGGACAGGTTTAACTTTTGTTTATGCTCTGGGTGCCTAGCTCAATGCCAGGTGGATGCTAGGGGCTCAATAAACATTTATGGAATCAATAGCCATGTCCCACAGGCCCCATCAGTTTAACCTTGTCAAACCCATAGCATCTTCTCTCTTTCCCCACGCCCTTCACCTGGTGACCTTGGTGCAGCTAATTGGTTGAAGAGCTCACAGGGAATTGAATGGTGCTTTCCCTCTAGTGTGCTCAGCTGGAGGCAGGCAAAGCAGGCTTCTCAGCAGGCAGTGAGTGGGCCATGCTAGAGGAGGGACTGCTTTGTGCAACCTCAGGGCCTCCTGCAAATCAGACTCAATCGCCTTCACTTCCTGTGCTTAGGGAGATTAGATACTGCCTAATCAACGCCAATTTTTTTTTCTTTTCTTAATATTTGAAACTACCAAGTACCAGTTGCCATCCTAGTGGGTGGCTTTCAGAAATCCCCTCTTTTTCTGGTGTTTGAGTTCTTGTGAGTTTCAAGAAACCAATCTATTTGGAAAGAACCTGCACATAGAAGTTCTTTGAACTGCTGAGAAGCCCTGGCAGGAAGTGACTTGGGATCTGGGTTAGACAATTTTGTCTCACTCCTAGGAGAGGTAGGAGTAATGAGATACAGTTGCATTAGGTGTGGGTGTGGCTTTAGATCATTCCTGTGGCCATCTCTCCACCTGTGGCCCATTTTTTAGATCTGGTCAGAGCTGAAATTAGGATGACTGTTTGGGCGGTAGAACATTTATTACACATTGGTGGTGCACTCTGCCAGGTATTCCAGGAGTCCTGGGCTGGCAGAGATGAGCTTGATAAGCATTTTCATCTCAGTTTAATGTTATAATCTTTTGTTGTTGTTGTTTGTTTTTTTTTGAGACAAGGTCTTACTGTTGCCCAGGCTGGAATGCAGTAGCGTGATCACGGCTCACTGCAGCCTCAACTTCTCAGGCTCAGGTGATTCTCCTGCTTCATCCTCCCGAGAAGCTGGGACCACAGGCACGTGCTGCCATGCCTGGCTAATTTTTTTCTTTTTCTTTTTTTGCCCGCCTGCAACTGTCTTGATGGAGTTACAATTTTTAAAATTATTTGTTGAGACAGGGTCTTCCTGTGTTGCACAGGCTGACCTTGAACTCCTGGGCTCAAGTGATCCACCTGCCTTGACCTCCCAAAGTGTTAGGATTACTGGTGTGAGCCACCATGCCTGCCTGGCCCTATTAATCTTTAAGTGAACTAAAGTGTTCAGTGAAACTTTTTTCTTTTTTTCTTTCTTTTTTTGGCCAGAGACAGGATCTCACTAAATTTCCTAGGCTGGAGTGTGGTGGCATAATCATAGCTCACTGTAACCTCCAATTCTTGGGCTCAAGCAAACCTCCCGCCTCAACCTCCCAAGTAGCTGGGACTACAGGCACATACTACCGTGCTTGGCTGATGTTTTCTTTTGTAGGACAGGGGTCTCACTGTGTTGCCCAGGCTGGTCTTGAACTCCTGGCTTCAAGTGATCCTCTCTCCTTGGCCTCCCAGTGTGTTCAGATTACAGGCGTAAGCCACTGGGCCTGGCCCTCAGGGAAACTTTATAAGAATTCAATGAGTTCTATCCATTTCTCCAAATAAAACTGTTTTGAGACGTGTACTTGGAGAAGGACTTGGTGAAAGGGCAAGGGCCATGTATTTTCACACTACTGCACAGGAGGTGGAGATCTGTTCCTCATTCTGGCAGGAGAGACAAACGCTGGCCTTCCTTGATTCTTGTGATGTATTTTTAGGAGAAGGGATGCCCATTGTGAGTCAAGCACCTGCATAATGTGTGATGTATGCTATTTCATGTAACTCATCATGCCGCAAAATGATCTCTTGAACTCCACTGTATACTAGGAACTTTTGGATTGCCTCTTTTAATCCATTTAGCAACTCTTTGAGGGTAGCTTCTGCTATTATCATCACCATTTTTTTCAGAAGAGAAAACTGAGGGACTGAGGCATTAACTTCTACTATTTTGCATAGTCAATAAGTAAGTGCTAGAGCTGGCAACTGAGACTAGGCCATTGGACTACAGAGCCTCTTAAACACTTCACTTCTTGTCATATGAAGGAAGTGTTGAGATTCCCACTTTATAGATCAGTAACATTGAACCAAAAGGTTAGGCAATTTGTCCAAGGTCTCACAAGTGATAAGAGATGTAGCTGAGGTATCTGCCTAGGTCTGCCTGCTTCAGAAGTCTACAACATTCTTCTACCCCCTACTGGTTAGATAGTGGATATGTTAGTTTAAAAGTCAGAAAGTATGTCTGGGTGCAGTGGCTCACACCTGTAATCCTGGCACTTTGGGAGGCCAAGGTGGGCAGATCACCTGAGGTCAGGAGTTTGAGACCAGCCTGGCCAACGTGGTGAAACTCCATCTCTACTAAAAATACAAAAATTTGCTGGGAGTGGTAGTGCATACCTGTAATCCCAGCTACTCAAGAGGCTGAGGCAGGAGAATTGTTTGAACCTAGGAGGCGGTGGTTTCAGTGAGCCAAGATTGCGCCACTGCACTCCAGCCTGGCGACAGAATGAGACTCCTTAAAAAAAAAAAAAAAAAAAAAACAAGTCAAAATGTTAATGCAAGTCTTATTTTGTAAAAACAACAACAACAACAACAACAACAAAAAACACCCAAAAGTCCTCTGCTTTCCTACTTTTCATTCTTGATATCTGCTCCCTAGAGGCAACCATTTTCATCATTTTAAGACTTTTTCTCCTACTGATTACTTACAAATTCCTAAATAACTTGCTTGTATTTTTCTGGATTTTTGGCTTAGATATTTTCTACTCACTACCACTGAAGCTGAGGATTTCACTCTCATACCCTCTCCTACGTCCCTCCCCTATTTTTCTCAATATAGTTACAATTTTTGCCAAGTTCAATGTTCTCTATTCTCTACTTGTAAAGACTATGTGAACATTCACAGCCAATCCATTGATGGCAGCAGCGGCCCATCTGGAGCGGTGGCTGCGAAGACACCAGCTATAGCAGGGAGGGTGCAGCCAGGGCTGCATGTGCCACAGAGCCAGCAGGAGACTGGAACAGGCGAAGACCTGCCCACTTCTGAATAGGTGGGGCAGGAGCCTGAGGCTCCTGGGCAGAGCTGCAGCCATCCAGTCGCGGCTGTGGATCCAGGCATCCCTATGCTCTCCAGGGCCCAGGAAGCCCCTCTTCCCCAACAGGCTTGGACATGTGTGCTCCTGCTGTCTGGCCTTTCCCTCCTCCGGTGCCCACTCCAGAGCAGAGCAAAGTTGTGGCCAAGCCTGGGTGCTGTCACAACCCGGCTGGGTGTGTGTGTGCTCAGAGTGACACAGACATACCAGCCCCCTGCTGCCTCAGCCCCTCCAGAATTTGGGCACTGAGGAGCACAGGAGGGGGCCGAGGCGGTGAGGGCAGCTGGGCACAGGCTTGCAGGTACCCGTGGGCAGGAACAGCCTGGGCACCATGGATGACATGATTGATGGAGGCAGGAGGCAGACAGGCTCCTGGGTGCAAATAGGCAGGTCCCTGGTGAAGCCCCAGCTTCAAGCTAGGGAAGGGGCTGGGGTGCCAGTTCCAGATGGAATCTGCGGCCCAGAGTGGAAACTTACGGTGCTTTTTCTGGGGCCACCCATGCACCAAGCAGCATACGCTTCCTCCTCCTGAGTCCATAAAAACCTGGGGCTCAGACAGACTCAGGCAGATGTTGGGACTACCAGCTGCGGGAAGGAGCTTGCCACTTCAGGTCTCTACTCGTCAGGGTGAGCTGCCGGCAGAAAGGAGCTGTCCCTTCTAGGTTCCCTCTCTATTGAGAGCTGGACACACATTGGCATGACCTGCCTGTGGAAAGGAGCTACCAACTCCAGGTCTGGGTTTCCTCTCTGTTGAGAGCTGGACACCTTTTGGGGTGACCTGCCTGAGGAAAGGAGCTACACGTTTCAGGTCTCCCGAGAGGTGTTCTGTGGCTCAATAAAGCTCCTCTCTGCCTTGCTTACCCTCCAGCTGTCCGTGTACCTCATTCTTCTGGACGGGGGATAAGAACTTGGGACCCGCTGAATGGCTGGACTAAAAGAGCTGTAACACAAACAGGGCTAAAACACACCCCCTCACACTCGCCATGTTGTGGGTGACAAGAAAGAGAAGAGCTATGGCCCTTTGGGGAGCCCAGACCTAGAGGCTCTCTGAGCCAAGACTGTGACCATCCTCTTTGGGGCTCTGCAGTTTGTGGCCTCTCCAAGCTTTTGGGCACTACTGCATTCCCTTCATCCAGACACAGGTGGAAGCCACTTGTAGTGCATCTGATCTAGTTGCAGGCTTGCATGGAGTGGGCGCCTGGAGCTGCCTGCCCGACCACAGCAGCCGGTGTGCTTTGCTGTGCTCAGTGGCCCACACACCCCTTAGTGCTTCATGCTTGGCTTGCCCTTGGCAGGCATGGGATCCAGCTGGTAGTGCGAGCCGAGTGCAGCCTGTCAGGCTGAGTGGCCAGAATGAGCCCAGCAGGCGCAAGCAAGACTTGGGCAAAGGCGCCACCAGCCGCAGAGGTTTCCTGCAGGAAAAGCGACACCTGAAGGATCCTGTGACACCACATGAATGCTGTAGTTACATGTCCTTTTATTCAGCTTTTGAATTTCTCTGGAATATGTATTATTTTAAAAATTTTACTTGGTTATTTTCAAGCTCTTTGACAGAATCATTAATATCTTCTCACTATGATCAAGCATGTCAGATAAGCTTTCATTTTTTCTTTCTTTTCTTCTTGGAGGTATTCCTCCTGGATCCTTTTGTCCTTCTGCTCCAACCTGGCCTGATGGGTAAGGAATGCTAAATAGCTATTATATTGGGAGATTAACTGTCTATCCTCCCTATTTGAAAACTTTGCTGATCTTTTGGAATATTTTCATGTTATAGCTACCCTGTGAGGTTTGAAGGGTACATGTTTCAGGTGGAAGAAAACAAAGCATCGGGAGTTAAGTGTCAGTTAAAGTTACACAGATCCAAGTGGCAGAGCCAGGCTAGAACTGGGCTCTCTGCAGGAGGCACAGTGCCCCTGCAGCCTGACACAAATGACCATTGTTGCCACTGGCCAGGCTCCTCTCAAAAGTTCCAGATCCCGTGGAATGACAACAGTATGGTGGAAATTCGATGCATACATCTCCACCTAACTTCTTTCATAAATAGGAGATGAAGTTGAACACTTGGACTTTGAGTCCGCCACTTAATAGTTGGATTATGCAATTTGAAGCCAGTCATGTGATTCCTCTAAACCTCAGTTTCATCACCTGTAAAGTAATAATAGCGCTATTAAAAATAGTGCTAAGATTAAGTACCATAATGTTTTAAAAGGCACATTGTAAATGCTTAGTAAACATTAAGCATTGTAAATGCTAAGTAAATATTAAGGCTAGGGTTAGGGATTTAAATTCTAAAAGCTCAGAATTTAAATTG